AGTAATTCACTCAAGAGTTGTGTTCTCTGCTTTTCAAGATGGCCATAATTGTAAAATTTATTTTAATGATTGTATTTAGTACTGTTATTTTTAATACTAACTACTAACATCTATGTAATCTATAGGGGACTTGATCCTAAATCTTTCAAGCTAATCTGAGTAGGTATTATTATCATTCCCATTTTACAGAGGAGGAAATTCAGGTTCAGAGAGATTAAATGACTTGTTCAGTCTTTTCACTCTAAATCCCAATGCTCTTTCCATTATATTATGTGGACTCCAATCTGATAAATTTGTTTGAACATCTTAATGGGTCTCATACCTTAGGGAGTTTCCCTCCTTATACAGAGAGCCATCTGGAGATCCATAACAGTCTAAAAGAGCTACTCTGATAATGAGGATTTTAGACTATAGCAGATCAGTAAGATAGGGGGGACTTTTGGAATCCTTGAGTAATAAAATGTAGGCAACTTCCTTTTCTTCTTATTCATACTCAAAAGGATATATAGCTCCTTCAACAAAAGTCGTGTAGGAGTAAGTAAAAGTCAGTATGGAAGGTCAATTATGATTAATTTATAAACATTTTTAATTCCAAGGAGTTTTTGAAAAGCCAATCAAGTGTGGCTAAAAGTGTGTCAGGAATCATAGAATAAATAAATAACAAATAAGTAAATATGATTTCCCTCATAAAAAGGAGGGAAAACGACAGAAATTTTGGAGTATTTTCCTTAAATGCAGAAAAGTATGCCCTACTTCCTTGACATTTCAGGCAAACTTGGCATGTTCAATAATCTCTTCCTCATGCATTTTATACTAGGATCAGTATACAACTGGCCAGGTTAAAAGCATTTTCTTCATACTGACTTAAATTTCTGGTTCTAGAATATGATGTAATCAATTAACTCAAGCATATTTGTGTGGCAATAAAAGAGATTTGACATATATCTCTTTACTTATGTTGCCAAGATGTATAAAGCTTCTGAACAAGAAAAAGGTCTGTCTTTACATCTGATTTTTATTGCTTAATTGACTACTTTCTCCCACTCTTTCAATTTTTTTAAAGTGGAAGATGAAATGTCAGATGATGATGTCAAGAAAGCTGAAAGATAATTATATTAAGGAAGTTGGTATATAATAGAAAATTCAGATAGGACCGAAAAATAAGAGTTTTTAGTGTGAGAATTCTAAGTAAAAACATTGGCCATAAAGAAGTTTTATTATATTCAAATTTCTCAAGGGTTATCATTTCTTAAGTTCCTTTTAAATTTGTTGTAAATATTGCCTCAAATCAATTAGTTAGGCTTTATAATAGATTAAAATATATAAAAATCAATAAGATCTTAATTTAACAGATGTTGTGATATGAGAAAGAAAATTGACCTGATTTACCAGTACTTTTCTAGGCAGTCTTAACCAATTCTGTTAACTTTTCTGGACCTTATTGCTTCTTTCTCTGTAAAGGGATTTGCTCTATAAAGGGATAAGCTCTAATCTCTCATAAATTCTAAATAGATTATCTTTTTTTTAGATGAAGAGTTGAGTTCTTAAATATTAAGATATCACTAAAGCTATTTGTCAGGTCTCATAATTTTGTAACGAGTGATCTAAAACTGTATTAGTGGTAGAAGTGGTAATAGCTATGAAAGGGAAGAGGTCAGACTGGAAAATAACCTTTTCCTTAAACATTTTTTTTTGATGCTTGGATATAGGACTCTGCCAATGAAGACTCATTTCTAATTTGTAAAATGAAAAGACTTACTGGGGAACATGAAGGACTTTTTGTCTTTCTTCTTTCATCAGTCAGTTTGAGAGCTATTTCAGGAGTATCCCTCCCATACCATTCCTCACCTCTAACTTTGAACTGTAAGCCTAACGTTTTATTTCACCGAGAAACTAGAAGCAATCAGATGAGAATTAGCTCTCATTTTTTTCCCCATTACCAAGGCTAGTGACCTAATATCTGTACCCATATATCCTACCTTTGAAATTGTTGTACCAGATTAATTGTTCCTACTGAAATGTCTCTGCTTGGACCCTGGATCCCCATCTCCTATGGCATACTCAAGAGAAATATGCATTTCTCCCAAATTACGCTCAATTTCTCCCTTTTTTCCTAGATCATTCGCATCAACAAAGTAACTTGCTATATTAGTTTCCATCTTGACAAAAAATTTTAAAAGCCTAAGCCCTCTCTTAGAACTCACATCTTCTTTCTCCTGAGATGTGGTGTACTCCTCTTATTTCTCTACTTGCCTTGCTACTCAAAGCTCCTGTCTTACCACCCATGACCTTCATGTGTTCTTCTTAACCACTCCACTGATATGGCACCTATCAAAGTCACCAACCACCTCCAACTCTCCCAGCAGCCTCTCCTCACATGACTCATTTTTTCAGCAGTAGTGGACACACACAGTTGGCCGTGCCTTCATTCTGAAAATGTCTTCTCTACACTTGGAGGCTCCACAATCACCTTGTTTGCCTTTCAACTTACATGCTGTGTCACCTCATTCTCTCTTGCTGTCTTTCCTCCTCCAATTTCTAAATATTAGAACATACTTAGTGAACCACCCTCCTTCCTCTTCTTTTCTCTATATTTACACTTTTTCTCAGTAGTCTCACCCTTTACCATGGTTTCAGATACAATTTATATTCTGGTGACTTTTGATATCCAGCCTCAGCATCCAACAGCACACACAGTATCTCCACTTAGAAGTCTAAGAGACACCTTGCTTTTAACATGTCTGAGAGAGAACTACAGCTGTCATCCAGTCCTACCGTTCTCCCCAATCTTTTCCATCTTTGTTGTTTTCCCATTGTACGTGGACTTGATGCCAATCTGTCTCTCTCACTTCTCGTCCTGGAAATTATGTCCGCTCTGCCTTCAATATGTATTCTGAGTTTGGAACCCCCATAATGTCTGTTCAACACTACAGCCAGTGGTATCTTGTTAAAAGTGAAGACAGATCTGAGTAAAAGCCAAGCCACAAATAAGGCTCTATAATTCTTTTTGTGTTCTGGCCGCTTTTGTCTCTGAAGTGCACGCCTGCTTCTCTCCACTTAGCACCTGTTACATCGGGCAGCCAGCTGTTTCTCAGACAAACCTCAGGCCTTTGCACTTACTCTTTTCTCTGCTGGGGATGCTCTTAGTGATCTCCCTTTAGATATATTTACAACTCCCTTCCTTACCTCTTTCAATTCTCTGGTCAGATCACTTTCTCAGGGACGGTTCCTCCCACTGCACCCAAGGAAAGAGTCCTCTGTGTCCCGGCTGGCCACAGTTCCCTTCCCCAGCTGCTGCTTTCTTCCTGATACTTATCTATACAAGAAATTGTATTTTTAAAAATTTCCATTTAGGGCTTCCCTGGTGGCGCAGTGGTTGAGAGTCCGCCTACCGATGCAGGAGACACGGGTTCGTGCCCCGGCCTGGAAGGATCCCACATGCTGCGGAGCGGCTGGGCCCGTGAGCCATGGCCGCTGAGCCTGCGCGTCCGGAGCCTGTGCTCCGCGACAGGAGGGGCCACAACAGTGAGAGGCCCCCGTAACGCAAAAAAAAAAAAAAAAAAAAATTCCATTTATTCTTTATTTTTTTCTCTCACACTGGAATGTTAGTTAGCCTAAAGAGGACAGATAACTTGCCTGTTTTGTTCATCCCTATGTGTTCAGGAAGTTGTTCAATAAATATCTGTGGAATGAAAGAAAAAAAAAAAGTATCCCTGAATATGTGAAGGAAGACATGACTGTTTCCCTACTTACCATAGGGTGAAAATAACATTTAGAAATGGAAAATTATTATTAGCTAAGAATGGTAATGAAGTCAGAATTTGAATGATAAAGAATCTCAATTCTGTATTTCATGAATCATGAAATAGAAAAGGAGATATTTTGCTAGTATGCAATAATAAGAAAGAAAGAATACTTTACTATTGTACCAAAAAATTTTGGTTGAAACCTAATGTCATGTTTCTCTTGATATATAAAAGATAACGATTCCCAAGTATGAAAAATACCTTTTTATAACAGAATAAAAAGAATTTTGGCAGTTAGAGGTTTTTTTATTTTATTATAAAAGTAATGCATGTACATTGCAAGATTTTGGAAAATATTTAAACTTGGAATGATGTTTTAAAATTTTGAGAATTATTATAAGCAGTTTTATTTTACTAAAAATAACTAGTTTTCCCAAGCTAAAATAGGAATTATAACTCAATATGTCACAAAAATGGAAAAGTTAATAGAGCCTTTATGTAGTTCCCTTGAAGAAGGATGTTTCATTTGTTCTCTACATCTGCGTCTCTATTTCTGCTTTGCAAATAAGGTCATCTATACCATTTTCCTAGGTTCCACATATATGTGTTAATATACAATATTTGCTTTTCTTTTTCCGACTTACTTCACTCTGTATGACACCCTCTAGGTCCATGTATGGATATGTATGGATATGAAGGGGGAAAGGGGTGGGGTAGGAGGAATTGGGAGATTGGGATTGATACATATACACTATTGATACTATGTATAAAATAGACAACTGAGGGGAACATACTGTATAGCACAGGGAACTCTACTTAATGCACTGTGGTGACCTAAACGGGAGGGAAATCCAAAAGGGGGGGATATGTGTATATGTATGGCTGATTCATTTTGCTGTGCAGTAGAAGCTAACACAACATTGTAAAGCAACTATACTCCAATAAAAATTAATTTAAAAAGTAAAAGTGACAGTTACCTATAAAAAAAAAAGATGTTTCAATCGTAGTATAACTTTATTGATTAGAAAAATCAGGTATGTCTGGGGAATTTCTAGGAATCTTCTCAACATTTAAAATTAAGGATAAGTGAAATATACACTAAAAAGGTAAATAATCCTTGTACATCTCAATTTCAAATACGTAATTTTATTCAATACCGTATAATGTGTGTAGCATCTGCCAATGCATACAACCAAAGAAGTATGATATATGTAGTTTATGTTTCATCAAGTGTTTTATAACTGTTTTATTTAGGGCCCCAAAGGAGATCCAGGTTTTTCCCCAGGTCATGCTGTTTCTGGAGAAAAGGTAATTATTCGTCCATGAAATAAAATCATGGTGATATATTTCAAGCTTTTAAAAATCATTTTTATCTTTTTAAAATGTAGATTTTACTTGATTTCAGACAGAATATATAGATAACTATTGGATTTTAATGAAGGAAGAAATATTTGAAGAATCAAATAAACAGTATTATCAGCCCAACTTTTCACTTTAAATCATACCATTAATTTTTTTGAGTGTCTACTTTGTCATGCCCTTGTGCTACCTGTGAACTAGGAACAGATGGGGCAAAAAATTAGAACAAGATACTTTTGGTCCTAACCTTAAAAATGTTGCTGTTAGTATGGATGCCATTGTAAATTCTAATGCCATTTTACACCTTTATTTCTAGAATAGTTCTACATACTTATCTTGTTTAAGTACCACAGTAACAGTGAGGGAGGCGGTCATCATTATCTTTTTTCCAGCTGAGAAAACAAGATTCATAGAATTTAAGTGGATAGCAAGTAGATGAATTAATGATGTATCTAAGTTTTCTGACTTTCAGTACAGTATGCTTTTTATTTTATCATAATGCGCTCAAATACACATACACATTTAGATAAAAAGAAACGAATGTTTCAAAGTAAAGATAGCAGCGAAAATCTTTATTAAGAGGAAGATATTGTTTTCCAGTGAGGATGAATACAAGTCAAGTATTTAGGTATATATCTGGGAAGCTTTATTTAGACATGCACTTGATGAATGTGATACAATTATAGGATGTTTTTGTTTATGTAGTGTACATTCACAAACTTTTAAAATCCCTGAATAGTTTTTGTGGTTACTGGGTTGAAATCTTATCCTTTAATTGGTTTACAGAAACTCTTGTAAACATAAGAAAAATTACATCACATTAATGGATATTATACTAGTAATTAAATCCTCAAATTTAATCTAGAACTGTAAGAATTTCATTGCTGTGTTGGAACTGAGTTCACTGAATCTAAATAATTTAGAAAAAGAATGGAAGTTTATTGTTAGAAACAGTATTTTCATTGGTTCCTTATTTATTACAAGGAAAAAAATTCTGCAGTCTGAGAAACATAAATGCCATCTTTAAAAATCTCTAAATATAAAACATTTGGTTTCTTAAAATTTAGAAATTAGACATCCACTCTCTTTTGGTGACTGCTTTAAATAAAGTCCCCAAATTACGTATTCAGATTTTATCAGATGCTTATTTTTATCTTCCCTTGTGCCTTCTCTGTACAAAATATAGGGTGGTTCAGTATGTGTACAGTATCTGTATAAAATACAGGGTGATTCAGCCTGCGAATTGTGACTTGGAAGTATGTCAGTGGGTTTTTTTTTTTTAACTTTTTGAGTTACTCGTATACTAACCGTGGTCAATACTATATAGAAGAAATGGTAAGATATAGGATTTAATAGAATGTTTTCATTGAGCTTTAAGTGAAATCCAACTTTCAAAATGAGATATTTTTAAAACGGTAACATTTAAAAACAATTTCTCAGAAATTATATTTACATACAATTAGGTTCAAATTTACTGAAGAGACAGGATATTTATACATATACAATACAAATACAAATAAATAAAATACAAACATTAAATTGGTATGAGTATTGGGGGATTGGGAAACAGTTGAATTTTATTTTTAAACATTTAGCTATTTTTACAATAAATGTATAATCAATAATGAAACAATAAAAGCAATGCAGATTCTAGTCCTTCTGCATGTAATATCCAGTAAGTAACATCTCTCATAGAGCACACCTAAGCGTTTCTTGTGGGGCCTCAATGGCAAACGAAGATAACTTTTAAATAGTGGTAAGTTTTCCTTTCCCACAAGACGAGTGTGATATTATTATTCTCACTTTTCAGGTGGAGAAACTTTGAAGGGAAATCAAGTGATCTACCCTTGATTAGAGCTAGTAGAAGATGAGCCTCCAGTCTCCTGTTTCCTAGTACAGTTTTCTTTTCCTTCTATCAGAGAAATAAGTGTCAAAAAAAAAAATGTATAAACCCATCATCCCATAACAAATGGAAGCCATCCTAATAAAACACTGAGCAAAAAAAACATTAAAATATTAAACATATGGAAAAGCACTTTATAGTTAATCAGAAACATCCTTTTCCCTTCTGATTGTTTAATTTGATGACATATTAAAGTAGATAATACACTGAAAATTAAATAGTGCCTAAACAGTCATTAACGAGTTTATTTAGGGTTATTAACTAAGTACTCTTTTTCTCTTTCAAAGAACATACTTTTTATCATGCACAATAACTTTGCCACAGCAGGAAGAGGGAAAGGAACAGAGGCGAAGAACAAGTGTACCACGAGTAAACTGGTTTAAGATTATACCCCCATTCCACTTTGACATGTTTCATCCTTGTCAATTCACACAGCCTCCTCTATGTCGTTGTCCATTCTACCCACCACAGACACTCCTTCCCCCTCACTGGTATAATTTCTCCTTCCTACCCTGCTCACAGGCCTTCATCACATTTGGGGGAAGGGGTTGGGGTGTGGGGACAGAAGGCCCTAATTTGCGAAGTTGGGTCTGTGAAGTCAAACACACGGTCCTCCCAATAAATTTTCACTGCAGCCCCAGAAACGGAAGTGCCCCTTTCCCTGGTGCATGACGAGAGCCCAGTCCTGCCTCCCACCTCCCCCCCGCCATGCCATGAGGTTCCACATGGGAGTCCCATCAGGCTGTAGGTCCTCACCTAGAAGGGCAGGCCTGAGCTGTCCACAGCTGCCTCACAAAGCACTGGTAGAATTTTTAAGTAGATTCCTTTACATTTTTAAAGCACGGTAAACTTTGGGAAAGATGAGAATTTGGGAAGTAAGGACATTCCTAGAGAGAAGGACATCAGAGAAAAAGAAGCAAGGCCTTAGAGGTGGGGAAGTACTGTCCAGGTAATCAGCACTAGAAGAGATAAGGGCCGGGAGCCTCAGAAAAGGTCTCGAACAGTCCCAGAAACGAGGTGGACCTTGAGCCAGATAGAGGAGATCAGAAATGAGTGCAGTAAGATCTGGACGTCCAAGATGAAATCCTGCAGCAAGGAAATTATAATTTTCAATTCTCTTCCATAATATTAAACCTCTGTTTGTGTTTTGTTCTTAGGGTGATCAAGGTCTTTCTGGATTCATGGGGCCCCCTGGTATGCAAGGTGTTAAGGTAAGATGTCGTTTTACTTTGATGTATTTGGGTGCCATGTGGATCTGGGTGCTCCTCAGCTCCTAAGATCTCATTCTGAAGTTGAGCCCAAAGTCAATGTTTTAAATTCTTTTCTTCAGCAATAGGAATTAGGGTGCTGTCCTAATCCAGGGAAGTGGTGCCCACCAAAGACAGGGTCTTAAGAAAAATAAAAGAAAACCCTTCAGATAATGATGGGGACAAAATTCACATGTAGGAGAAAGTCACTGATAGAATTTTGGAGTTCTCTTTTTTTATTAGGGCAATAACTTACTTCTAAAACTTTGAAGTCACATTGTAACTTTTATATATCCAAAGTGAGGTGCATTTGGATGTAGGTAAAATACTTGGCTTTTTTTTAAAGAGTTTCTAATTTTATTAGGAAATAATAAGCTCTGCCATGATATATACATGAATGTGAGGCCTGAAGCGTAAATAGAGTAGAAGTGAGGGTTGGGGATAGCTAGTAAAAAATAGTAGTCATATGCATATGAGTTGGCCTTTTCTCGGGTAAAAAGGAATAGTAACACAGCTGCTATAATTATTTCATAAAATATGCTGTGCAGTTTCCTGAATTAACACAAGTGTAAATTCCTCTCAATATATTCAGCTTGTCTTTTTCTCAAACGCTGAGTTGTTGATTTTCTACAAGGGATGAAGAAGATACAAAATTTCTGTCTAAGGTATTAAAGGCCCCAAAATATTGGAGGGCAGTATTTGACTTGATATGGGTGCCTAAATACACTTCATAATGAGCTCTGTTGGTGTCTTAGTGTGTCATATTCTTTTCCTTTTGGGAGATTTAGAATGGAGATGGTTTTCTGGCTCTGGTTAATTTGTTCAAATTCTATCTGCCATTTTCTAGGTCCTGTCGACCTTGGGCAGGTTGCTTAACCTAAGCTTTAGTTCCCTCATGTGTAAAATATGAAGATAATACTACCCACTTCACAGGGAGCTGTTGGGAACATGGCATGGGATAATCCATGCAATAGAGTGTCAGAAAAATAGCAAGCCGTTAATAACTGTTAACCATCAGCTATTTATCTGGTTTTGGAAAGGATCCTGACCTTGTTTGCTTCCCTTCATAATCCCTTCTACAGGGCACAATTGTAAATTGATTAAAAAGGTTTTGATCTCATGGAGTATTTTTCCTCCCATGACCATACCACACCGTTATTCTTATGGCATTTAGACTAGTCTTCATCCTAGATAGTACTTAGAATCTGACAACTCCTTTGAGGTTGTTGGTTGCTTCCATGAAACTGCAGAGTGATCGTTCCTACCAGAATTGGTCTTGACATACAGTCATGAATCTGTCTGATTAATGCTACTTAGTATACCTCTGACTGCTAAGTGTACCTCTGAGGAAACTGTACTAACGAATCGCATCAAACAAAGAAAATCTCATAATATGAAAATTACCTTAATAAATTGTATTTGATATTAAATATACAGCTATTGCATCCTGAAGAATGCCACTGTGTATGAGAGAAAAACAAACTAATCATTACTTTCCAAGGTTAATAATGCCCATGGTTCATGAAATTAGCGTTCCAGAAAGGGAAAAATTATTGATAAATAAAGCTTGAGTCGTGATTGTGTAGAGGAGTATGTAAAGAAATACTATAGAGAACATTTTAAAAGACTGATTTTAACTATTAGAGCAGATTATCATTTTAACTTTGAAGTTTTACTTACTTAAAGCAGAAGATATTATCTTCCAAGGACTTATGCACATATTATATGAGCCTTGGCCCATCGATATTTTAAAATATTGAGAATATATTATTTTTGGTCTGTATAAGTCTAGTAAAGTGAAATAGCATTAAGTTAAACAAACTGGGTCATGGATGCATATCTTTCACAGACTTCTTTTCTCTTACACAGTTTTTTAAACTTTTAAAATCTGGCTTGTGTTGTTAACGAGTAGAAACAGACACTGTAGAAGTCAGGGATCTTGCTATGTTATCAATTAGCAACTATAGCTGAATTTTCTCTAGAGAAGGTTTGGTCGAAAGTAATTAGAAACCAAATTACTTTCTGATAAATGAAGCATCCACGGTTCACTATGCTTTGATAGTAGTTCAAAACAGTGTTAATATTTGAGATGATTTTGTAGTTTTTCTGAGAATGCTTTCCCTCTTTTCAGAGTGTGTCTAATAATGGAAACTGTATATAGATTTTTTAAAAACAAGTATTGCAGGAAACACACATAGGGGCTCAATCTAAACCTAAACTAACTCTCCACGTAGCAGGCTTGGAACAAGTTTCCATCACACTATCTACGTGCATGTCTTACTTTAATATGAATGTGCAGTAGAAATACTGTCACAATGAGCTTGGTAGACTCTTTCTGTTCCTATGGTTTGTATGAAAGGAAGAAGGACCAGACTGATTATTTATGGAATTTACTAATTTTGGTTCATTTTTTGAACCACCTAGGTCATTCTCAGAGTTACTTCCTGCAAACAGGATCCATTCTAGGAGTACCTAGAATAAAAGTTCATATTAGTTATGACCTAGGGACTCCTATTCCTTCATCCTTTCAGTTCTACCCCTAAAATGCTACATGAATTCTTAAGGTCAAGACAAGAACTTAAGGTATTCATTCTGTAAGTGATAAATCTAAGATAAGCCCAGAGAGGTTAAGAGAATTGCTCAGGGTCACTCAGAGTTACAGCAGGATCAAGAGATAATACTTGCTGATACTGAATCCACTGTGCTTTTAACAGTCTGTGCTTACTATAAAAGATGAATAAGGTACTTGGGATTTGATTAATATGAAGTTTATTACATATTTTATCAAACTATTTTTGAATTATTATTATAACTATTATGGTAAATATTAACAGCTCCTTTCTTATGTGTAATATTATAGTCTATGTGCTGAACCCTGTATCTTTTTATCTTAAAAACAACCCATTGAGACAGATAGTATGTTCAATGTGTCATAAATAAGTTAATTGAGGTATAAAATGTTTAAGGCATTTACCCAAGGCCACATGATTATTAACTGACAGAGTTAGGACTCAAATCCAGGCATCTTTGACATGACTGTTCTCTTAATAACTTCAAATACTGTTTCCCCATATATTAGTTCATTATGCCAATATTTGTTATATGTGAGTTTGATTACTTCTGACTACCTCAAGCATGAATGCAAGAGAAAGTAAAATTTTGTTTTTTCCTGAAAGCCAAGGGAACAAATATAGTTTTGGATGACAGGTAATAATGACATCATTATTCCTTTTCTCTGGAAGTATCTGGAAATATTACAATTCTTTAAGTAGTCTTTGAAGTGGCTGCAAGAAAGTTGTGTGTAGAAATACTGACAACTCATGGAAACTGTTGAGATAAATAAATGGAAGATTAATATAAAATGTTCTGAAAACTAGAAGTAATATTGAGATAGAAATAACAAAGCAAGTAAATCAGCAGCAATATTTTTACTCACTCTTCAGTAGATTTTTTGGTTCGCTTCTGCCTTTTTCCTTTTATCTCTCACCCCTTGACTTTTTTTTAAAGATTAATAAATTTACTATATTAAAAATAAGGCTTTTTTTTTCACAACAAGGTACAACACAAATAGTGAAAATACAAGCCACAGACTGGGAAAAAATATTTGTAACACATGTAACTAACAAAGAACTAGCATCCAGAACATGTAAAGATTGCACAGAAATCAATAACCCAATAGAAAAATGGGCAGTTCACAAAACAGCAAATCCATTGGTCACTTAATATGTGAAAAGATATTTAACCTTACTAGGAATAAAGGAAATGAAATTAAAACAATGAGGTATCATTTCACAATTGTCAAATATCTAAAGTCTGAAAATACCTACTTTTGGCCAGATGAGATACAACAGGAATTCTCATTTACTGCTGATGGAACTGGAACAACCACCTTGGAGCACGATTTGCCATGTCTAGGAAAGGCGAAGATGCACACTGCCTAACACTTAGTAATTCTGCTCATACGTATATATCTTAGAGAAACTCTCTAACACACATACACAAGAAGAAATTTTAAAATGTTACCTGCAGCATTGTTTATGAAAACAAAACAGTAGAAACCCCAATGTATTTAAATTTTAAAAGGATATATTTTGATAGATTCATAAAATGTAACAGAGTGCAGCAGCTAAAATGAACAAACTAAATCTACCTATTTATGGCAACATGTATAAATCTCAAAAATATAACATTGACGAAATAGCCTCAAAGCATTTGTATAGTATAATATATATAAAGTTCAAAAACATGCAAAAATACATTATCAAAACAACTTACAGAAATTTATGCTTTACTGAACAGTGAAACATTGTATTTATATAAAAGTATAAAATCATGCATATTAAAAAAAAGTGCTTTTCTCTGAAGAGGGACAGATAAGAATGAAATCAGGGGGTTTCATAAGGAAAGGCCCTTGAATTTTTTCTTTTAAAAAATCTGAAATCAATATTCACACCTTGACTTTTTTTTAAAAAACCAGTATTACCACTTTAACAAGCTGTGTGTTTCCCCAGATTGACTGGTTACATTGCCTCAACTTAGCCACCTTAATATAACTCTTATTTACCTAGGAACTGAAGTATGTTTTCACTTCCCACTAAATGTCTAAATTTGTGCCAAAAATCAGATAAGTTAGATCCAGAGTTCATGCTGTGTTGGTTGGAACACAAGAGTCATAATTCTGAGCTTGGACTCCAGATGAATTTTTAAATTGGTTTTTAAATATAGCTGATCATTTGCTACATTACTGTTGGAAGTCTGCTTTTTAAAATTGTAAGAACATTAACAGCAATTTCAATTGAAGAAATTTTTCTGGGATCGAGAGGATAAGCCAGATGAGAGCAGTTAAGCACATCTTAGCATGAAGGTATAACTCAGAACAATTGTGAAATATGAGGCACACATTTTAAAACAGATGATTATGAATAATGTATGGCAATATTTTTCTGAATGTCAAAAAATTCAAC